CTAGGAGCAAGGACGCTACTAGGAGCGAAGGGCATCGCTACTAGGAGTAAGGACGCTACTAGTATGCTTTCGGCAATTCTGTGTCTTTGCTCGTCCCTTGCAGCTCCCCTCCAAGTTGCGGGAGCTGGACTTGGCACCTCGAGATGAAGGGCCGAGAGGAAGGAAGGCAAACCAACAAAACAAATCAAACAGGTCTGTTTGGAACAATGTTAGTGTTTTTGTTAGAACCGTGCAGAATTGGAAGAAAAGAACTTGAGTTCTGGTTGTGTCCGTTCTCAAAACCGGACATCTGGAAACCGGACCATTGGAACATCTTCGGCAAGAAGCGATGACTCCTTCATCTTGACCTGCTCAATGCTCGATCGAGAAAGTCTTGCTCATGCCCTGTGGATCTTGCTGTAGGAGCAAGAACGCTACTAGTAACAAAGGGAATCGCTACTAGGAGCAAGGACGCTACTAGTAGCTCCTGGCCTTACTACTAGGAGCAAGAAGCTATTAGTAACAAGAATTAGAAGCTTTCCAAAAAGCTTTCATCGCATCATATCGCATCAGTGGCCTTCCCAAAGCATTGCTTCAAGATCTTTGCAGTTGCCTTTGCTTCTGGTGCTGGCGAGTGGAAAACGACCTGCACTAAGCCAGTGCAAAAGAGTACCAAAACAAATCCCACCCAAAGGCGTGCTTCAGGCGTTGAACACATCAGCTTTGGACAGTGAGGCGCAATACCAAGCAAAATACCGTATGGCAAAATCCAAGTTAGGAACAAGAACGCTACTAGGGGCTCCTGGCATCGCTACTAAGAGGAGCCGTGGAGCACTCCGTGGGAACTGTTGCTCCGTTCGTAGCGATGCCCTTTGTTCCTAGTTGCGTTCTTGTTCCTAGTAGTAAGGCCAGGAGCCCCTAGTAGCGTCCTTGCTCCTAGTAGCGGTGCCAGGAGCCCCTAGTACTAGTAGCGTTCTTGTTCTCTTGCAACACATGCATTTACAAAGAATAGTTGGACCACTGTTGAAAACCTAATTATCTTAAGCTGTTGCAAAGGCTTGCAACTCAAAGCCCCGAGAGCTCCTTGTACTTCGCATCACTAGTCTGCACCGAGAGCCTGGCACAGATCTCGACTGAGACTGCTCTCGGCCGCTCTCGGCTCTGGATTGCTCTCGACTGAGCTTCTCTGACCTCTGCGCGAGCAACTCTGCCTGTTGAAGGCCGACGTCCGACAAAGGCCTCGAGCTGAATTTTGTCACAGGCTTGGGCTCACAAATTCAAGAGGTCAAAAGCATGGGCAAGAGGTTACAGTAGCTACTAGGAAGCAAGGATGCTACCAGTAGTGCATCGCTACAAATGTTAGTTCAAGAAGATGAAACACAAACAAAACTCGGCACTTTGAGGCCAAGCTCTCCGTGTCCTGGTTGCGCATGTCGAACGAAAACCAAATGGCGAGTGCCTGGATCTGTGAATTCTGGGGTTCAAAGTTGAAACAAAGAAGCTACTAGGAGCAAGGGCATCGCTACTAGGAACAAAGGGCATTACTACTAGCAACCAGTAGCATTCTTGCTACTAACAAGAAAACACTGTCTTTCCTCTTTAGACCTTCAGGCCTTTTTATGCCGATTAAGAGAGAATAGCCGCAAGATTTGGATCTCTGGGACAAGGACCAACATCTTTGTGGTTTTCTTGTCGCAGCTCCATGCCCAAAACCTTGCTTCTCACGAAACGACCGAGACAAACCATTATCTGACCATTTGGTAGAGGTGCAAAGAGTGTGTTATTTGTTGTGGTCCACACCGAAACAGCTCCAAACTCTCCGGAAGAACTTTGCTGCTCTGCAAGCCGCTCTTCCCAATCCTGAAAGCAGCTGCCAGACCCTTTTACAGTTACACGTTTCCAATTCATCCAGGGGCCGCAAAACATCAATGAATTCCATAGATTCTATGCACTAGGTGTTTGTGTCTCCCAGATTGATTAGGATTGGTGGCAGTATCGTCGTCACAAGCATCAAGAACAAACATGAAGTTTGGTGGGAGATCTCTTCCCAACAGGTGATATCTGCAATTGGTCAATCTTCCACCAGTTAGAATCTGCCACTCGGTCACGATTCCAAATTTGGGGAACCCTGGGTGGATCGTGCTACGGAACTTGGCTAATTAATGCTAATTAGCTCTCTGTGGACGAGGTGGTTTGATCCAATCAATGTCCGAAGTTGCTTGAATTGGTTCACCAAAACGTCGTGGACTCTTTAGCCAGAACTCCGACCAGCTACTCTGAACAGCTATTGGTCCCAAGTTTTATCAGCTTCCATCAGCTTCCCAGCCGGACCCAGCCTCTATCCATTCCTCATCATCTTTCCTGTTCATCCACACATGAAGCTTTGACATAACGCAAGCGAACGGCCTCAAAAGCTGGCCAGGGATGCTGTGAGAGCCACTGAGATGTCAAATCGTAGACAGCCTCAGATCAAAATCCAATCAGATTCAATCCATGCCATCATATGCCATCACATTGAACTTGCGTTTCCTCGGAAAGTCCCGAGCCCCTGCAGATACGGCAGCGAGACACCCTACCTGATTTCCAGCCAAAGGTATGCTACATCTGTCAACAATCTAGCCACCACATGCTGCCACAAGGTTTGCTACAGTGTGTCCTACACTGCGCCTACACTAGTACACTAGCCAAAAAACAAAAAGAGTCGCATTGTACTGAGGACACACGCAGCAACAACTGCAGTGCGTCGGCTGGCAAGTCCTCTGGACTCACTGCTAGCATACCTAGGAAGCAAGGGTGTCCCTTGGCACTTTCTAGTAGTGTTTTCAAGGAAGAAAGAAAAGAAGGTTGAAGAAAGGAAAAGGAATGGTCTACATTTAAAGGAATTCAAAGACAAAGACTATGGCTATAACGGAAAATAGGAACTAGCAATCAATGGTGGCTAGGTCCAAAACCCGCCCATTAAAACAAGCTTGTTTGGACTCATTAAATATCCTGATTGAAAATAAACTGAGCAAAACGGGATTCTAAAGGTATAATACATCTAACGTCTAAAGAACACCAAAAAAGAGGCCTGGCGAACAAATTGCTCGCTCGCCACGTCCGCAGCTGACCTTCGCAGTTTGTGTCATTGGCGAGGGGACAAAGTCTGGCGTGACACCAGTTCATGGTCTAGGGCCTAGGGTCTCGCTGTGTCTCGGTCTAACATTCCTCTGTTCGTAACACACGGCTGCCCACATTCTTCTCACACTGCCCATAGCCTCCCTAGTTCTCCCCACTTTGAACACACGACCGAGAGCACACTGCGCTCTGCGCCTGGGATGACCAGCCCTCTGCGCCACATCGGTACCAATGATTTCCACTCTAGTGCATGCTGGTGCTATTCCCGTGACATCCCTCTCAAGCATTTGGTCAAGCAAATGGTGTTAGCGTTCCTTGCATGCTTCGCCTCAACACATGCATTCACCAGTGATTTCAGTGCCGTATTTCATCATATTGGTCTGCTATGTGTTTTTGAAGTCTTGCTTTGTGCAAAACAGTAGACTGAAACAACCCCACCAAGAAAAAGAAACATCATGTGTTTTTTCCTGAATGTGCTGATTTGGGCCTCAGAGCAGTTTAAGCAAAACAAGACCGCCTTGCTCCGCCTGGCTCTGAACGACTGCACCGCGATACTTTTCCCGCAACGCGGCACGTCAAGGCGCTGTGGCTCACGACCAGCCACTGGCGGCAGATTGGTCAAAGCGTGGTGTTTTGTTAAGATCTTTCTTCACAGCACTACATCCTGTGCTAGGCGAGCAGCTTCAAGAAGTTTGACTCTTCAAGTTTCTCTGGCTGTCAAGCTCTACTGGCCTGTCTTGAAGTCCTCGGATCATCCTCCGTCCCTCCTTCGAGCACTGGACAAAACGCCAAAAAGAAACATGTCAGAAACCACAGGAAGCTCATCATGGGTACCTTTTCATGGGTCCCTTTTCATGGGTCCCTTTTGATTGTTTCTATTAGATTCCTTTTGCTATTAGGTTGGAGGCCATCACTAGTAGTAACAAGAAGCTACTAGGGGCTCCTGGCATCGCTACTAGGAGCAAGGACGCTACGATCGGGCTCCTGGCCTTACTACTAGGAGCAAGGACGCTATTAGATTGTCATACATTGTCCATCTGCCTGAAGCCTTGGTCTTCGTGCGATCGGCTTTTGGCGCATAAACCGCCTCACAGCATCTCACGACAAATGAGCCGTGCGATGAGGCAATGTCCCATCTTCTAGACAAACGAAGCTACTAGTAGCTTAACTAGTAGCGATGCCCTTTTGTTACGTTCGTAGCGTCCTTGCTCCTAGTAGAAATGCCAGGAGCTACTAGTGGCTTCGCTCCTAGTTGCCAAGCCCTTTGTTACTAGTAGCTTCTTGTTCCTAGTACTAAGGCCAGGAGCTACTAGTAGCATCCTTGCTCCTAGTTGCGATGCCCTTTGTTACTAGTATGCAGTCACAAACGGAGTCACCAAACGGATGTCGTCTGGGAGACTGACTCATTCCACATGGCTGCACTTGGCACTGTTTCCTCTGGTAGGATGTCCGTGACCTGGAAAGTCGTTGAAGCTACGTTCAAAGCAGTTCATTGTGAATAACGACGGAAACGAAAAGCTGCTCTTGAGGGACGATGAAAGGAGAATATGTCAAGTTTGAATATCGCTACTAGTAACAAAGGGCCTTATATACTACTAGGAGCAAGGATGCTACTAGGGGCTCCTGGCATCGCTACTAGGAGCAAGGACGCTACTAGGAGCAAGTCTTTCACCAAGGTACGTTTAGCACGAGTCGTCCACCCACAGCTCGACCTGACCAAGAAGGCAAACATGTCACCGAGAAGGGTCCATATCTGAGAAAGGTCCAGGCCAAGAACGTTGATCTCTGCTGGTAGTGGAGGTATTGCAAACTCAGCATACCTGCAAAGTGTTGTAAACACCATCCACGTTTCATCACGACTTCACAGCTCAACCTCCATTGCTTGACGATGTTGATGCAAAGTCGGTCAAGCATTGGGGGAAACATGTTCAAGTCTCTGGCTTGCAATCTCGTTCCCCATACCGCCGCTCCTGCGCCATCACAAGATTGACATCCAAACATTATATTTACTCTATACAAATGGACAAGGCTTTGGCATCGAAGGTGCAAGGACGCTACTAGGGGCCCCTGGCATCGCTACTAGGAGCAAAAGCTACTAGGAGCTCCTGGCCTAACTACTAGGAGCAAGGACGCTACTAGGAACAAATGGCATCACTACTAGGAGCAAGGACGCTGCTAGGGGCTCCTGGTGGTGTTGGGGGGGTGGTGGGTCGACGAATAAAGCAAAGGGGAAGCCTCCCGCCCAACACTCTAGCTAAAATGGAACAAATGCATGTTTGATTTGAGTTCAACAAACGATCAAAACATCCACACAAAACATGCGGAGTGGCCAGGGCATCTTTCTATGATAAACTGCGTACATAATCAACATTTTGATGAGATCAAGAAACACTCCATATAAATCACATGCAAAATGCGCAATGCTCTGCCTGCTCTGCAGTCCTGCTCTAGCCATTTGTTGTCCTTGAGAGGCTTCAACTTGGTCTGGTTTGCAAACACGTTGACAGCCTCACTACATGGCACAAAATGTAACATCCAATCTCTCATGTATACACTCCGATGATCTTCAACAACAACAAGCAACTCAAATACATGGTGGTTGCCTGGCTTCTATATATCCAGGCACGATCCTTGTCGTGACTCACCATACCAAAACTGAAGACAATTTAGAACAAACTCCTACAAAGTGAAATAGCAAGAGTTCAAAAGAGGTACGTTTTGGAGCTTTGTGCTTTACGCTTCTGCGAACCCACCTCCAAACGGGGATGAAAGCCAATGACTAGTCGGCCCCTCAAGACGCCAAGCACCTCAAAGTAGGCCGGCAAACAAGATCGGACACACCAAATCCAAGTAAGCTTGCCAGGCGGCCCAGGCTTGATTGCGATTGGTGCAAATGCAAGTGTTGGATAATCATACCCTTTGAGTCAATCGAAATCTTTCAATCAAGAACGTGGGAACAACTGATGTCTTTGAGGCTTGCACTTCTATGTCAGACTTCAAGGGACTGATCCCTCTGCCTGCATACGCAAAGACCCATGTGAGTCTGCCTAAGTCAACGTCGCAAAAGGGATTAAGTGATTGAACAGTCGTGATTTTTTGTTGGGGGAAAACTAACCTATATTGGCAATGGCCTCCACCCTAGTAGCGATGGCCTCCAACCTAGTAGCGTCAGTGATTGAAGAGTCGTGTGTGTAATGTTGGAACGCGTCCATCATGTCAGCTCTTTTCAACATGTTTCCCGTCACCTGACAGTTCTCAGATCCAGGCAGGACGTCAAGACTGCAAGGGTACGCGCGAAAAATCGGCGCCTGGAGGTCACCTGAGTGGTTGGGCGCGTGGAAGGTATACACTGGGGAGCTTGTGTATACGTGAGGGAGACAACGCAGGTCAGATCGGCTGTGAGGTGAAGCACCTAGACGCCTACTCTATGATGGTTTGTTGAAGCACCTCGGTCGATGACGCGAGGCCTAAGAACGCCTTCACGGATCAGAAATAGAACGCCTAGAACGAATGGCCTCCAACCTCAGAGCAAAAGAGCGAGCGACGGGGTGGAATCGGGTCCCAGCGGCGTGCTCTGCACATCCCATGTCGGCAAACAGGCGAACGATTTAGAGTGGTTCACGATGGGTTTGTTGGCCATAAGTGCCATAAGTCTATTCAACCAACGGGTTCACAATCAAAGCATGCTTCAACGTTTCAACTAAATCCTGTATGTGTTTTCCATTGGACAAGTGCTTCATCAGCGAAGGTGCACTTTTTGTGGTTTTGTCACTAAGTACATGCTCAGTTGCAAAGCCGTGTATCAATATTGCCAGCTTAGCGTTGACACGTTGACACTCATGCGACTTTGCACAGCATCCCGTAGCCAGTGAGCCGAAAGATGCCGAAAGTCACCAACCCTACATGAGCTGTACAAACCTACAAACCAGCAGGCTAAAACGCTTAGAGTCTTACTAGAGACATTCTGTGATGACCTGCTTCCTCAACATGGTCAGAGAGCTTTGAAAATCCCAAGCTCTTCTGGATCCCAAGTCTCTCACCCACAAAAATGAATGACAAGTGTCCTGAACCCTGACACTTGCAGGATCACAATGAAACTTGCAGCCTCATCTTCAGGTTGCTGAAACTTTTTTTCTACTCAAACAGCTGCGAACATGTGGATAGACATATCAGCTCATGGGCTGTGGTCTGCTTCCTTGGCCCGGTCTCATTTGTCAAACGTCTCTAAATGTTCTGCAGTGGTGGTGGCAGATTCCGCGGGGCCTCCAGAAGATCTTCATCGAAAACATTGTTTTGGCCAACTCAGGTGTGATGAAAGGTTTGCTCACAAACCTCCGATTGAAGAAGGACGGAGCCGGATGGGAGCAAGGCGTTTTATCGAAGTGATCGGCCTCCTCTGACTGGCGTATCTTTGGCAAAATAGGATCGCGGAAAAAGCGTCATGCCCTTTTCTGGAATCTGTGTTTGACTCCAACAAGCAAACGATGTACTTGGTCTCCAAGAAGATACACTTTGGTTCCACAAAGTACCTTGTGTTGACATGGCATCAATGCTTTCATCGTCGAGCTTTATTTTTGCCCTTGCCAAGTATTTTGCAACCACCAGAAAAGTACAGCGAAGGCTAGAAGGGACCACTATATATCGTAGGCATCCCAGTTTTACCGCACTATTTCCTGTTTATAGTTCAGTTCAGTCTCTTAAGCATTTGAAATATCAGTTCATTCTTTTGCAAATGACCTAGCCTTCCTGCTGTGAACACGATAGTGAGAACACGTAGCCGAGTCATGCGCAGCAAGGCTGGGAAGGATTCAGAACACCCAGTTGGATTTGATGCAATCAGCCTTGCAGCCTTGCTAAAAACTCCTTGACAAGCTCCTTTCTGCAGGCGATGAGTAAATCTGGCATATACACTTATTATGACTTCTTCGATAACCTTTTGTTTTTCACAATAAAACATAACAAAGGAGTCTTGCCTAGATAAAAACCTTCATGGCTGCGGGTGGTTTTAATAGGCGCAATCTGAACCTCATGAAGTTGAATCAGCTCATATTGAAAAACAAAAACAAACTGTCTGAGACAATTTTTCCTTGGCTTTTCTCGGAGCTGCTGGCTTCGTCCTCAGAATCCATAGGTTCAAGAAGCACACACGCAGTGTCTCATAGACTTTTAGCAGAATTCAACAGACATACCGGAGGGGCTTGCCGTCTGCAAAGCACCATGAAAACTAGCTTGTCGCTTGCACAGCATTTCGCAGGAGGAAGCCCTGGTTGCTTTTCCAAACCTTTGCCAGCCAGTCTTAGTGGTCAAGGAGCATTGGCCTTTTGCTGGAGCTCATAGCAGCCTTAGATGGCACCGTAGCATGCGCCATGTGAGCTGCAACTCTCAAAGGACTTTGGAAGATCTTAGGTGGAAGGCAATTAACATGGTCTAAGCAAAAGCAATGTCTCCTACAATGAAAGGAAGTAAAACAAAACTTCAAAGCAAAGAATGGAAAAGACGATCTGAATATTTAAAGGCCAAAAGAACAACAATAACCTACAAGTAAGAAGAAACATCAAAGAATGTTAACACACAAAGAGCAATTATGCTTTTTGAGCACTCTTTAAAAACCCCTCAAGCCCCGTGTTCTGCAATGCGGACAAGTGACGAATTAGGTATGGAGCAACGCCGTTGAAGAAGAGTACTGCAACCTAATTCGTCTCAAGCCACTCATACACTCAGAGAAGCGTCTTTGCGTTTTGCAGGGGGTGAGTGCCTGCCAGCCAGCGTTGTCAGCATTGCGTTTCAACGATTCCTACACCAACCTGTGCAGGTCACTGAAGCGGCCAATAAAGGTCACTGAAGCAGCTATCTCTTTGAGGATGCTACCAGAATGACTCCACCCCATAGTGGACCAGGAGTCCAGAACTCGCCGCATTCAGTGAACACATTGTACACACCAATCCACTAAGTCACAAAGGAGCAAAGAAGCTACTAGGAGCAAAGGGCATCGCTACAAGGAGCAAGGACCTTACTACTAGTAACAAGAAGCTAGTAGAAACAAGAAGCTACTAGGAACAAGTGCATCGCTTCTAGTAACAAGCGCCTTACTAGTAGTAACAAGAAATCGATTTCGTTTCATGTTTCAACCATGGCCTCCTTGTGACGAGCACCCTTCCATGTCTCGAAGCCATGGTATGCCTCTCACGGAAAGCAGCTCCGAAATGGTGACGATGGCCTCCGACCTAGAAGCGATGGCCTCCGACCCAATAGCGATGGCCTCCGACCTAATAGCGATGATCCCCAACCTAATAGCGATGATCCCCAACCATCCCAACCTAATAGCAGTGGCCTCCGACCTAGAAGCGATGGCCTCCAAC